GTATGATAATCTCTAGGTCCATCCATGTTGCTGCAAATGGCATTATTTCATTCTTTTTGATGGTTGAGTAATATTCCGGTGTGTGTGTGTGTGTGTGTGTGTGTGCGCGCGCGCGCACGCGCGCACACACCACATCTTCTTTATCCATATTCATCTGTTGATGGACTCTTAGGTTCCACGTCTTGACTAGTATAAATAGTGCTGCAGTGAACATTGGGGTGCATGTATCTTTTCTCGACTCTGCTCCTTTTGTGTTACAGTGTCTGCAGAGATCATGCCGGTCGTTTGGATGCTGCGGCGGGTTGCCAGCCGGATGCTGCAGAGACCGGCCTGTGGCTGCCAGGCTCCTGTCCTGCCCAGCCGGTTTCTGGGCACCTCCCCTCAGCAGATTCCAGCGGATGCCAACTTCCACTCTACCTCGTTCTCTGAAGCAGACCAACCGCGCGTCTTAATTACAGGTTGGGTTTTTTTTCTTTTTTCCACATTTGTGGCTTTGTTATTTTCTTTGTGTGGCGGTGTATTTGTTTTTGGAATGTCTAACATGCCGCCAGGTAACACTTATTAATCAGAAACTCCCTTTTCCACTCCTGGCTCCCTCCGAAATAGCACAAGCCCCCTGTCCTTATTTTGCCGCTGTTGCCAGGGCTTGGTTTCCCTGCCCAAATCTTTTATTGTCTGAAGGGAGGACCTGGGAACCTGAAGAGGCCCAAAAAGCTGCTGTAGGACTCAGTTCCCCTCTCCTGCGAGGAATGGCCTGGGAGCCAAGGTGTGTGGATAGAACGTGGCCTCTGGAATCAGGCGCATCTTTCCTTGGCCAGGCTTCTCAGGCCAGGCAGTTCCTGCACGTTTGTATGGAAGAGATAGCCAGGGCCTGCCCAGGGCCCGAGGAACGCCTCACCATCACCTCGTGACACTTGCAGCTTACTGTCCACAGACTGGCCTGCTGACCCCTCTCCCCTCGTAGCCACCCAACACCTGGTTCTGTATCTGCTCACTGCAAACTTGACCGCCTGTCTGCAAGTCCTTCCAGCTGACTCAAGCCCCCCTCTGATTTGACTGACGTGTTTTATTGTCCTCTGTTTGCCAGTTTCATCCCTTGGCTTCACGTCCTTATCCTTCTCACATTCCTCAGTGTGTGTGTGTGTTTCTTTCACTGGCACCTCCTCTTCCTCTCCTGCTGTAACTGGGTTTCAAGTGAGGCCAGTTCCCTCTGCACTTCCCCCCCTGACTCTCCCAGCTTCTTGTCTGTGTGTTGTTTGATTCCCTCCTCCCTGCACCAACAAAGCATCTTCCAGGGCCCAGTGTTACCGTCAGTGGGCTGGTTTCAGTCCCATGTTGACACACGCTTACAGGAAATCCCACTGTCCATGTCTTCCTGCCTCTTACTTTCTCCCAAATGGAATCTAGGGTTGTATTCCCCTAAATGTGCTCCCAGACCCCTAGCTCTCCCATTTCCATCAGTGGCATTTGTAAGCGTCCAAATTAAGATGCTGTAATACTCATCTTTAATGTTCTTGGCAGCTCCTTGCCCATCCAGATATCTGCCCCTTTTTTCAGGTGACTTCTTGGTTTGTCCCTTCTTTCTTTCTCCCTTCCTATTCCTCTCCAGGTCTAATAATAGGAGGGTGCTCTGGATAATCCCAGCAGAGGTTGATATCAAACTGTTATATCTAGCTTTGAGTGTTCTGGTACCCGTAGCAGATTATTTTCACAGCCCATCAAATAACAAAGGCGAAGCTGGTAGTGATTTCCTGACCAGGAGGTCAGGAAGGTCCTGCTCTTCCGTGATTGTTCTCTTACCTGTACCCTGGCTTCCCCTCAGCCACTCTGTGCTGGAGAGCACTTTTGTCTCTGGAACTAATCTTACCTGTACCCGATCTCTGTCATAGCTCCGAGGAGGTAATTCTGTTCTATCAGGCCAACCTGGGGCTTTACCTAGTTAGCTAAGAGTGCCAGTAGAGTTTTCTTCTATTACATACTGGGAATAATTGAATTGGTTAGATTTAGATTAAAGGTTCACTTTTTTCTTCTTTATCCAGGGGGTCTTGGCCAGCTTGGAGTGGGGCTTGCTAGCTTTTTGAGGTAAGAGCTCGCAAAGTTTCAATTTAAATTCTGAGCTTTTCAGGGCTTGTCTTTGGCCCCATTTAACCATTGAATCTTTTCTCACCCCTCTTGCTTCTCTCCCCTCTTGCTTACTTTAAGATATCGTATGTAAATGACCGTTTGGAATGCATTTCATTGTGACGCTTCATATCACAGACATTGTTTCAGGTCCTTGACTCAGCATCCCCGAAGCTGGTCCTTTTCCCTCTGCCTTTCCTAGGTTAGGCAAAGTAAGGCCTGCCTCACAGTAAATCACTTGGTTTTCAGACGTTTGGGAGCAGAGGGAAGTATATTGTATGTGCAGAAACTGAAAAGGAACAGTGTGGGATTTGGAGAGTGGGATAAAAGGATAAGAGGAGAGAAGAACGGGGAGGCAAAGGGAAAAACTCAGGGGCACTGGGAAGAAATTGGTGACAGATACCGGGATGATAATGGGCTGAGGTAGAAGCAGGAGGTGCAGCCCTGGGTGTGGCTGCAACTGCAGGGCTGTGAGTTGAGGACAAGAGGGAAGAAAGGTGTGAAGAGGAGGGATTTGGAGGCTGACGAGACATGACAGTTCCTGTTGGAAAGACTGTTTTCATAGGACCTGTTATGTCCTCAGTGTACCAACTCGTTTGATTTTCCCTTTAGGAAACGATTTGGGAAGGACAACGTGATTCTGTCTGACATTCGGAAGCCCCCTGAGCACGTCTTCCTTAGTGGTAAGAGGCTCACAGAGCAGGTAGAGAGGCAGCTCCCAGAATCAGTGTCACTGTTCATAACCAGGCTTGTGAATTAACGAAAGAGGAGTATTTGAGGCACACTTGTGCCACTTAAAAATGTGTCCTGGTTTCGTCCTCATTAGTTCTGTAAGACGCCTATGGTACAGCTACTGCTTGTTCAAGGGATCCAAGGACAGGAGAGTTCTTCAGACCTTGACATGAAGTTGTGGAATAATATCTTTGGATATTATCTGGAGCAGTATCTGTGGAATAAAACTGATTCCTATCTTTCAGAGTTTTTAGTGAACTTAGCTCAGAGAGAAAGCAAACAAAAATCAACTTCTGAAATGAGGAAAAGGCACTTTAAATTTTGGAGAAATTAATCCTCATATTTCAACGTGAACTTTTTCTTAAACTACTGTGTACACACACAGACCCCAGACTCCTCTAGTCAGGTTGTCTACACCTCAAAGATGTTTTTATAGTTCTAGCTCTTCCTGGTTCTGTGTCAGCCTTTTGCTGTTTACCATGGGGAAGAGC